AAAATAGCCACAGAGACACACAAAGATTTAATTACAAGTGTTCTTCATGACCTATTTTATAACAGGAAAAACTGCAAACAAACTGAACAACCAAGCCTCTGTTGAAAAAAGAAACTGGTATGTGCACACCATGCAACACTTTACAGCCATTAAAAAGTGCTTAGATACACGCTGAACCTGAGTCCTCCATGGAACTAGTAAGTGGCACGATAACATATTCATGATAAGCACATGCGTGGAAAAAGTTGTTACTGTGCAATATAATCCTGTTTGTGTATTTACCTATATATGCACTGATACCTACTGAAATGTTTATGATTATCTACAAGTGGTAAATTTATAAACCATTTGTTTCTCATGTTGAGAATTTTAAAAAATTGTATCTCTCAAATGCATTACTTGTAAAAATATTCGAGTTATCTCTTTTTTTAAATCAAATTCCATTGCTTTATTTTTTTTAATGTTCTTAAGATTTTATTTATTTATCTTTAGAGGGGAAGGAAAGGAGAGAGGGAGAGAATATCAGTGTATGGTTGCCTTTCATGTGTCCCCTGCTGGGAACTGGCCTGCAACCCAGGCACGTTCCCTGACTGGGAATCGAACTTCGATTGGTTCACAGGCCCGCACTAAATCCACTGAGCTACACCAGCCAGGGCTCAAGTTATCTCTTGAAAATGTCTCTCTTTACCCACTAACCGCCCACCTGCTAAATGAGCAGTGGGCAGCTCATTTAGGTGGGAGGCCAAGTGTTTCATTTACTAGTTCAAAGAAAATGTTTTATCCATGTTAATGATTCTTGTTCCTGAGGGACTGCAAAGAAAATGTTTTATCTGTGTTAATGATTCTTATTCCTGAGGGACTGGCTAAGGCCAGTCCCTGAACCATTTCTGAAGGGCACTGTCTCTGCCTCCAACTACACATAATGAAGAGAAGGGGCAAAAGGGAGGAGACGAATGGCACGAGCAGATTGCAACTTTGTTCTCCAAAGAGCTCCTTACAGATGTGAGGTGAGCCCAGAAGGGCATGTCTACTACAGCCCCTGCCCACAGGCCTGAGCTAATAAGCACTGTTGCTCTTGGGAGTGAAGGAGTTTCCTTCACTTTCCCTGTCTGACAATCAACGGAGTACTTCCCAGGAGGACTCGAAGCAGGGATCTGCTTGGAAAGCACTGATAATACTTAGAACCTGTGGTTCCCAAACTCTGACCATGTTTTAGAATTACTCCAAGAGCACATGAAAATAGAAAAAAAGGCAAAAGACACACTCCTGGGTCTCACCCTAGACCTGCCATATTAGAATCATTGTGGGTTGGGCCAAAAGATTTTTTTTAAAAACTCCTCAAATGACTCTGAAACAGACAACCCACACACCAGTGATCAACGATCTTTTAACAACTGCTGGCTGGAAGGAACCAAGAAATACCTACTCCACCTGACTCCAATTAGATTAGCATCAAAGTCAAATCAAAAAATGAGAAGCCTCCACATAGGTGGAGACGCGATGCCTTCTCACACAACCAAGAGACAACTAAACATTAGCAACAGAAAACACAGCCAGAACACAGAAAATTGAACTTTTCGGAAGTCTGTTAACAACAAATTCTTCAGCCTGACTGGTAAGGGGCGAAACCAGCAGCTGGAGGAGCGGGATTGCACCAGAAAACTCGGTCAGACGGACTCAGGCGCGCAGAATCCAGGTGCAGGGTTGGACGTAGTGAGTGACCCAGCGAGCGACCAAGCGAGCAACCGCGGGGAAACAGCGAGGGAGCAGGGCTGCGGGTTGACTGTGGTCGCGCATTTGTGCCCGAATAGACAAGCGAGGGAGTGGGCGATTGGACCGAGACCCAGCGGGTCCCCGCGGCAAGCGGCAAGCCAGCAAGCGGCGGCAGAGGGCGCCGCCATTTCCCTGCTCTGACCCCGCCTCCACATACAGCGTCATAACCCAGCGACTCTGAGTGGCACTGCCCTGGTGAACCACCTGAGGCTCTGCTCCTCACCCAGCGGTGCGGGAAACAGCAGAGGGGGCCGCCATTTCCCCATTCTGACCACGCCCCCACATACAGTGTCACAACCTAGCAACCTGGGAGTCCAAGGCTCCGCTCCTCACACTTAAAGGACCCGAACAGACCAAAAATGGCTCAAGAAGATCTCAAAGCCCCAGAGCCTATAAATCTAAGCGATGAAGAAATAGCAAAACTCTCAGACGCACAGTTTAAAACACTGGTGATCAGGATCCTCACAGAACTGGTTGATTATACCCACAAATTAGACAAACATATGAAGGTGAAACTAATTGAAATGAATGGAATTGCACAGGGAACCAATAGCGATGAAAAGGAAACTGGGACTCAAATCAATGGAATGGACCAGAAAAAAGCAAATAATGGCCAAACAGAAAAGAGTGAAGAAGCAAGAATTCAAAAAAATGAGGAGAGACTTAGGAACCTCCAGGACATTTTTAAACGCTCCAACATCCGAATTATAGGGGTACCAGAAGGGGGAAAGGAACAGCCACCAGTGGAAAACTTATTTGAACAAATAATAAAGGAGAATTTCCCCAATCTGGCAAAGGAAATAGACTTCCAGGAAATCCAGGAAGCTCAGAGAGTCCCAAAGAAGTTGGACCCAAGAAGAAACATACCAAGGCACATCATCATTACATTAGCCAAGATTAAAATGAAGGAGAGAATCCTAGAAGCAGCAAGAGATAAGGGGACAGTCACCTACAAAGGAGTCCCCATCAGACTGTCAGCTGATTTCTCAAAAGAGACCTTACAGGCAAGAAGGGGCTGGAAAGAGGTATTCCAAGTCATGAAATCCAAAGACCTACAACCAAGATTGCTCTATCCAGCAAAACTTTCATTTAGAATGGAAGGACTGATAAAGTGCTTCTCAGATAAGATCAAATTCAAGGAGTTCATCATCACTGAGCCCTTATTATATGAAATGTTAAAGGGACTTATCTAAGAAAAAAGTTAAAAAAACATGAACAGTGAAAGGACAGCAAACTCACAGTTATTAAGAACCACACCTAAAACAAAAGCAAACTAAAAGGACAGCTAAATCAGGAGTGGAAACATAGAAATGAAGATCTCAAGGAGGGTTAGCAACAGGGGAGTGGGAGGAGGAGAAGGGGGGAGAAGGTACAGAAAATAAGTAGCATAGACAATAGACAGAAAATAGATGAGGGGGCAAGAATAGTATGGGAAATATAGAATCTAAAGAACTTGAGACACATGGTCATAAACTAAAGGGGGGGTAATGGGGATGGGGAGGTAGGATGGAGGGAAATGAAGGGGGGAATAGAACAACTGTAATGGCATAATCAATAAAAAATAAATTAAAAAAAAAAATGAGAAGCCTCCATAATGCCCCAAATTACACTAGCTTTGGTGTTTTACCAAATCTCACCATTGAAAAGCTCATCCTATTAACTTCGCTAAATCCCCCTCTTCTAAGTTATAGTCCATTCTCTTTTACTGGGTCTGCAGAGACACTGGAAAGAGATCATCTCTGTAAAAATGTGTGATTACACTAGAAGATAGAAATGCACTGTAATGAATCAACCTCCCCGTCCACGTGTGGCCAGCCCTGGAGAACAGTCTCAGGACGAGAGAGCGCAGCAGGCACCTGCTAAGGGTCCCCTTGGGCTCATACCTATCATCAAACATTCAGACAATGTTCTGTGCAAGACTTTATTTGTGAACTTGTTCCTCGAACAGGAAAAATCAAATGCTTCCCAGAGATATTTTCAGATGGCATCCATGCCATGATTCAATAGAACCACGAAGTCTCCATGTTTTCTGCTCAATGAGTTTCTTTTGCAGCTATGGCAGTTAGACTCTGCCTCATCAGAGGTATTCACTAGGCTTTGGCCCCTTGGTGGCACAGAGTCACTGATTTCCTAAGACCCAGATTCCTATTTAGTCACAGAAAGTTAAAAATCCTTTTCCTATTGTGGTAGTGTTAAAACACGACCCAAGTTCTCCTATACTCCTCTCCTCTAGAAGGAGTGTTCTCAATACTACAAATGTACTAAAACCCACGGAACTTAAAAGTGGTTAAAATTGTAAATTTTTATGATGTGAATGTAACCTGAATTTTTTAAAAATGAGATTCTTTATCTCCTCCTTTTGAATGTGGGCTATGTGCCCGTCTGACCTAGAGAATAAGGCAGAAGTGGTGCTGTGCTGATCTCTGAGCCCAGACCTTACAAAACACTGGCAGCTGCTTCCCTTTTCTCGTCTTCTAGGATGCTCCCTCTCGGCACCCAGCCACCAGACCATGCGGATGTGTAAGCAGCCTTTACACAGGTCAACTAAGAGGGGAACTGAAGTCTCTGAGCCACAGCCCCCACTTAATTCCCAGCCAACAGCCGGAAGACAGCCAGCAATGCCCCACTAGCCGTGTGAGGGAGCCAACTTGAAAGTGGACTCTGCAGCTCCTGCACAGCTGCCTAGCCATAGCTGTGTGGAGCAGACACGGTCTCCCAGCCAAGCCTCAACCCAAAGTCGGATTCATGAGCAAAGTACCTTAGATGTTTAAGCCACTAAGTTTTGTGATGCTTTGTTGTGCAGCAACAGATAGCTGGTAGTTGAATATAACAAAGAGTGACTACTCAAAAATGGCTTCAGAAACCTGGCACCATAAATCACAATAGATTCTGACAAGCATGACCTTTAGCACCACAGAATTCATCCATGCATGTTCTTCACAATTCAACTGAGTCACAATCTTTCTAACATTCTTTCTAACATGTTCACTAAAAACTATGCCACGGACTGAAAAAGAAGGCATCTTTCTTGCTAAGAAAATTTTTACAGGGAAGAAAAAAGGCAAGAAAGCTACCAGAATACAAAACCTTGTAAGCTATCAAACAACGAAAGTCACGGACAGTTTTCAATGCCCCCCCCTTAGAAAAGGCAACTTGAGGCGATGTCTTCCACGCCACCCTGCTCGGCCCCGCAGTGCGGAGGAGCTCCAGCTCTGCTCTCTCCTTACCTCCAGCCTCTCGGGCGGGGGCTCGTTCTGCAGGATCCTCAAAGCTTTCGCAGCAGCATCGTGTTTCGCAGCCTGTCTCGTTTTTCCTTTCCCGTTAAATTGCTGTCCTCCCACAGAAAGTTCAACTTGATAAAGTAAGGGTGGTACTGGAAATGGGTAAAAGTACCTGAAAATAAAAGGAGGTGAAGAAATTAGTCTCGGATCGATGAGTCACCCATACATTCTCTGGAAAATTCCAGGTATTTCCTCCATCATGGGTCCTAACTGTATTAGTGTTTGCTGGCCAACGAGGTCCTCATCATATACGCAGAGTAAATTTACTCTGGATTAGAAATGTCACACAGTATTTACAAAACCTAAAATGGATTAGGCTTTGGCAGAATGAGAAAACTTAACTTGCTCTGCTTTCTCATATCTGAGAGTCACACTTGTGTTGTCACACAAAAGGCTAGGAATTGTTAAACAGAAGTCCTTTCAAAAGGACCCTCATTTCTGCAAGTCCCAACAGCTTACAGCCTGGCAGAGGCTGGGCTATAAACTTCAGAGTTTGTATTTTTCAAATGGCTTTGGTTGTCCCCAACCCCAAGTAGGGCAGGGAAATAAAGACTTCCAACTACGATCATTACTCTATCCATTAATGGCTTATGACTGAGAGCAGAAGGTTTTTAGCACGTGGCATTTTCGGATTTCCATGAGGATTGTTTTTACACCTGTGTGCCAAGGCTATTTACGAAGCACGTAAGTTCAAATGTCAAAAGGTTCCCAGTAAATAATAATCAGGAAATCAGTAAATGCTGAGAATCGCAGTACTGTGGGACTCATGTTCATAATCAAATGACTCAGTTACACAAAGCAGGGCAATCTTCAACAAGACCACTTGGGGGCACAAGACACACTGCCTACGAGGAACATGCTCAGGCCCTTTCCAACAACAGGAGATAAAAGAACATCAAGATATATTCCAGAGACACCAACACAATGAAAACTGACTTCAACATGTGGCAAGCCAAAATGACCAAATCATCATGTGCTCCACAATCTATAGATTTCACTATTCTTTGTAAAAGGTCAGATGGCCCTGGACGGGGTAGCTCAGTTGGTTAGAGCATTGTCCCAATACACCAAGGTTGTGGGTTTGATCCCCAGTCAGGGCACATACAAGAGTCAATCAATGAATGCATCAATAACTGGAACAACAAATCAATGTTTCTCTTCCTCTCTTCTCCCGCTACCCCGCTCTCTCTCAAAAATTAATTTTTTAAAAAATTAGATAAATCTTCACCTCTATTTAAAACACATACATACCTTGGGGGATAAGCACCTCCTCTCATATTGTAGTTATAGGTGGACTGCATCCGAGAGTAAGGGTCAACGGGTTTGTACATTGGTTTTTTTCCAAGTTTCATGCACAGTGCATTTAGCTCTACAGTAGGGGTTATGCTTTCTGCAACACAGAATTAACACAAGAACTGTTTTTCCTTTTCTGACATGAGAATGATAGTAAAAAAAATTTTTTTAAAGAGCATGCTTTTAATTAATTGGATTCATGATACACTTCATGAAAGGATCTATATATTGCACTGCTAGGCATCGGGTGAGGAAATCCAAGAATCTGCTGTGATCTCTAGATATTAATACACAAAATGTATTATGGGGCTATTAAAGGGAGCAGCAATTCAACACAATATGTTATCAGTGAAAGCCACACATTCCAGTCTCCAGAAATAAGTTCCAGTACATATCTATCAACTTCCATGATTAAAAAATCCGGGTGACTGCCCAAGTCATTTTACTGTTTGGGAACACTTAAACCACTGTAACTGGCTGTACTGACTTACTGGGTAATTGGCTTACACTTAGAAGTATGTTTGTACATACTTTTTCATAGAACAATGCATTTATTAAGTACTAACTGGGCGCAAAGCACTGTGCTAATAAGCTTGGGGGACAATTCTTGTCCCAGAGAAGCTCAAAGAACACAAAATACACTCAAAGAGCTACAATGCAACCGGAGGTGTAATAAAGGCAAGTGTTGAATCACTGAGAAGGAGACAAGTAAATTCTATTTGAAGAAGTCAGATGAGATCCACAAAATATTCAGATACTTCCATTCTCACTATTTATACTAGGATTTAACCAATCATGTAGTAATAATACTTGTTAGGAAAAATTAGTTGTTTTTACATACAACAGGACAAGTGTATCTTGGGTTACCCCAGAATTCTAAGCTTTAGAGAACATATACTACTCATTTTCCAATTTTTTATAATTTCATCCAATTCATAAACCTTTAAAGAAAACCAACCTGGAAGGATTAGTGTCAGTGTACAACCACATTTAAAAGCAACACTTTCATATCAAACACAGAACAACACTAGCAATGGCAAAGTTCAATTTAAATGTGCACACAAATCCACTTTAAAACGCCTCTGTGGGACATTATATACAGGACAGTAAAAATGACTTGATTCTGTACTGTCACTGGTCTAACTAAATTTAGTGCATAAATCAAATGTATAAGAATACCTTCAGGTTTGCAAAATTAGAGGGTCACATGAATAACCAACTCTTTTCTACCTAACATCAGAATTATATTTTTATATAATTCATATAGTTACATTGAAATATAATCTGAATCACTGAAGAGAATTTGATCTGACATCAAATTTATCTGCAGTAGAGAATGAATTTAAAGACGTAATACCACAAGAAAATCAAAAGCAATGAGAAAGGTGTGATCAAGGCCTCCCTGGGGTGACCTCAGGCACTGGAGGGGTGATGGCCAAAACACCACTCCTCCCACAGCCACCAGGACAGTGGTTCCCAACTTCCCAGCAGACACCCTTCTTTATTAGTCTTCTCTCACTTGGTTCCCTTGTTGGAAGAGATATTATCTACTGATTTGAACTTATTTTCTCATTCTTTTTAAAGATAGGAGGCACATTAATTGACAATTAGAATTTCTGATCAACATGTTATAATCACTATTAGCACAGAGGTGAAATGATTCCAGCTAAACCTGTGTTCTTGGCACTCTGCACACCCTAACAAGGAAAAACATGTATTGTCACTGAGCTTTTCTGAAATCTTAGAAATTGTGTGGTGACGCCCCCCACCGTCCATGACTGCCTCTCCAGATTGTCAGGAATCAAGGGACCATAGATTGGGAACTACTGCTTCAGAGTCAGGATAAGCATTTGCCACTGGTAGTGTGGAATCTGTGCTTTCAAAACCAACACGTTAGTTAGAAAGAATTCACATACATACTAAATGGGTACCTCTTGACACACTTTTGAAAGGAACCTGTCTTGGCCCACGCATAATACCTGGATTCCTTCCTTCGCTACGAAAAGGGCGGACTATGGGTCTAGGAAATTTTGTTCCTTCCAAAGCTTTGGCAGCAGCTGTGTGTTGGGCTTTTTTAATACTACTTCCTTCAGCTTCCCAGTGCTGATCTCCAAGTGTTAGCTGTACTGTAAACACCTACAAATGAAAATTGTGAGCTCTCAATTCATGAAACCTGATGTTGACTGTAATATGTCACTTGGACCTTGAACATTTTTTATGGTCATGGTTTAAAAGGCCTGGCCATTATGTTGGTAATTTACCCTATCACCACCTTCTTTGTTTTTACAAACACAAAAAGAGAGACAGAGACAGAGAGAGATCTATATCTATGTAGATATAGATATAGATATAGATAAAACTAGTAATGGATAATACTCCATGAAAAAACTGTTTGAAGGATGGGAGTAAGTACACAGGTTTTAAAATGTTTTCTTATTAAAACATTAGACACATTTGGAAGCCATCCAAATAACAACTGTCTTCCAATTACTTCTCATGGAGGAAATTTAGCAAACTTGATGCAGACACACAACATCTCACACAAGTTAAGACAATACTTGTTTTAATGTAATGTGCTTGTGGACTCCTTTCTGAAAACACAACCCCAGTAGGACAAAAACCTGAATCGATTTGGGAATGTCAGCCAGGTTGTAAAATGTTGCATTTCACTTTCTTAAGACTGCACTATTCAGACGCTGCCTCCACTTGCAAAAGAAAATCAAATCTATAGCAAGCAAAGAGCTAAAAAACGGTTTTTAATTCAATTCTAAGGAAGCACCCAAAACAGCTAATTTCGTTCTCGACAAATGGCAAGCCTCTTTTTCCCCTTTAAGTATAAAGGTAACTCCATTCCACTCTTAAAATTAAGTTATATTAATGCTATTAGTATTGAAGTAATATTGTCAGAAAACGATCACCCATCGGAGCACTGTGATTCATCAATTTTGCTGTGCATTTGAGTAACAACTAGGTAAAATAAACAAGGCCAGAGATTTCAAATAAATAACATGAGGGACAACTGAGCATGTCTAATTTTAATAATCTCCCAAAATGATCCTGATGCACTCCAAAGTTTGACGCCCCCTATTTGGAGCTTTTATCTTCCCGATTTTATCACTGAGTATCACTTTATTTCATTTAAAACAATGCACATGAGAAATGTTGATTTCTTTAGGTCTAGGTCACTTCAGTGCAGTGCCTAAAGGGACGGGGGCAACTTGCCTTCACAGCTGATTTTTCTTGTAGGTCTTAACTTCAGGATTCCCTCAGTGCACAGCTTCCACTAAAGGGGGAAAAAAAGGAAAGATTCCTTCACCCCCCCCCCGAAACATGAGGGGTCCCCTGTATTGATGCTGCAGGTCACAAGGTTAGTCATTTTAAGCACCAATAGTGCGAACACAGGCCCCTGGCTGGCCTGCAAGGTCTGAGCAGAAGCCTGCAATGCTGTGCAAGCCCTGGGTCATGTTCGTGGTCCTTTCATGAAAGACACTGAAGGGGGAGATGCTAAGAAAACAAAATTAAGAGTTAATTCCATTAAGTCTTGCCTTTCTCCAGGACCTCACTCATCCAGCGGCTGTCTCCCTCTGCTGCCTCTGTGTGGACGACTGGTAACAAGTTAGAATCTTGGTTTTGACAGCATTAAGAGTACACCAGACCTTGACTTTTTAAATAGTCTTAACGGTCATCTAGGAGGGAATAACTTTTGCACTTCGAATGATTTGTAGGTTTTAAGAAAACACAGCTATAGGTTAGACACACAGCCAAATTACCTAAAGTACTGAAGTTGAAGAGAGAAAATACATACTTTAAAAATACCAAAACAGTTTATAAAGGGAATCCCAAAGTTAAGGTCTGCAAAAAAAATCCTGTAGAAGAAACAGAATAATGATAAAAAATGAGTAATTGCCTGCTGAAAATAAAAAAAAAAATTCAAATTATGCTTTAGAATAATGTTAAACTAGCTTCGAGTGAGTGGAAACTTCGTTTTTTCTTAAATACATATTGCTTGATAGTAATAGCTACCATTTCTCAAGCATGTAATAAACACCGAGCATTGTGTTCTACACTTTGACATATATTCTCTCATTTAGTTTTCACACGAGGCCTATTTGGTAGGTATTATTATGCCCACTTTACAGATGAGGAAACAGGTTCAAAAAAATTATAACTTGTTCAAGGTCACACAGCTAGTAAGAGGCTAGGGTTCAAACCCAGATCTGTCCTCAAAGGCCACTTACCTAACTGCCCTATTTATGATAGCGATTGGTGTTATTTCTAGTCAGATGAAATAAGAAACCTGGTATCATTTAGGGCTTGAGGTTTGCATGTCAAGAAAAATGAGGCATAGACGGTAAGTAACTCACCCTTAATTGTATGTTACTACAGGGCTAGGATCAGAAACAGGAGGCCAAATCCCTCACCTCTCATACTGTAACTACTCAAACTACATCATGCTCTCATACTACAGCAGCAAAAGATAAAGCCAGATATGCAAACATTTAAGTTCCAAGATCTGCATTAGCATGAATATCAAACAACCTTAAAGGACTGAATTTCTGATAAACAAATAGTAAAATATTCAAATTATAATCAGTCTTTCAATTTCTAAGGGGAATGATGAGGAAAACTGACACCAGAGACAATCTAGGGTAGTCACTTTGGGACTGATTTCTACCTCTCATCTTCGAACCTTTACCTGGTGACTAACAAATAGCAAAACTGATCTCGGGTTCACCCCTCCTTGCTCAGTCTAAGGTACACATGCAAACAAGCAGGAAAGGAGCCAAAGGGAGGCTGCAGCCACAAGGGCCAGGGCCTGGCAAACTCATAGGGATTCATTCACAGGTGCTTGAGAACTGTCTTTATTCAGAATCCTAAACTACCATACACTAAATGGAGCTTTAAAAGTCAAATATCCTAAACAGAAGTATATCTTTTATTTAACCCATTCTACAAGGATAAAAAAGGAAGTAACTTGCCAAAATTCTATACTTTTACATCTCTTTAAAATAACCTCAGCAGTCTGAAATACATATTCTGAATCACAGCACCACTTGCAACAGTATAAAAAAAGACAGAAAACATTCCTGGTGGGTTATAAATGCACAAGCAGTATGACAATATTTACCTTACAGTGAGCCGGACCTTGCTCACGCAAAAGCTTATACTCAGGCTGAATCTTGTTGAAACGGGCTAACTCATTCACAAGACACATTGGGGTTTTCTCTTTGGGGTGTGCCATGCTAGAAGGAACTGAAAAATAACGTAAGAGCATTGAAGTCAAGTATACAGACTGCTGCTCTCCTATGGATATGAAAAAAGAGGGAAAGCAAACTGAAGGTCTAAGGATTTAGAGCAGCAGTGATGCAAATCTGCAAACCACACTGGGGCACGTTCCTGAAGACAGCTGGGATCTTTTCTGAACCAGTTAAGGCCAGGACACCTAGGAGAGGATGTCTTTAAAGAGAGAGAATAGAAGTCATGGGAATAACTAAACCATGGCAGGCAGGCAAGACCTAAAATCAGATGAAGCACTGCTATTACAACCAACCAAGGGAATAACAAGGTCTTTTGAACAGATACCACAACAGCTGTCAGCTGTATTCTGTTCGTTATTTCACAAAATGCAACATGCCGACACCATCTCTCAAACAATAAATGTCGATTTCCACGCACTGAACTTCTCATTACTGGGTGTCCCTAGTCTGATCTCCAGAGGCTGCCATCCTCAGACCTTACCTATTTCTGAAAATCATAAAAGGAAAATACAAAATGGCCTTGGTGGGCAGGAGCTTTACAAAGTCAACAGGACGTAACTATAAGACATATTAGAAATAAAAGCAATAAACCCCAGAGGACTGAAATAGTTGGTGCCATTGCCTTTTAAGACGGTCTCAAACGGCAAATGTGGGGGAAGTCAAATCTCTAGGGACTATGACAAGTCAAGAATGCTGTAGGCTACCTGGCAAGCGGGTCCGACGATGTCTAGAACCCTGCAGCTCAGAGTGGGGCAAGCTCTAAGAATAGGTTTACAAAGTAAAGGAAATCAGAGAATGAAATGCAAAGGAAACTGTCAGGTATAAGGGACTGAAAGGCATTTGTTACAAGGTGACTCCAGCATGGAGACATGTGGACACTCCACTGAACTAGATTTGCCACGTTAGGGAGGTGGGAGAGAAAATACTGTTTTTTAGGGGTTTTTTTCTGAAGTATTTCAAGTCTTTCCTAATCAATAAGCACAGTTAGTTCATTTTTAGTTTCCTAATGAGATTTGAATGCGTCTAAACTTATTTCCTTTTTTAAAAATCCCTGCTTCTTTGTTCAGTCTCTAAGTGGTCCTCACTATGATTTCTGAACTATCCCAGGAATCTCTTCAACTTAAACTTATTCAAAATAAACATTAACAAATGCCAATGCACTCTTCTGCTTGCCAGTAAAGCTGACTGCCCCCTTGCTTGGGATAAAATCTTACAGACATAGAAAAAGGAGGCTTACACTTACAAAAGTTCTTTGTCAATTCTGGGAAATCATTTTAAAAGCAAAATTTCCCCATACAACAATGACTATCCAAAGTGAAAATTTCTGTTCAATTCTTCCTGCCAGCGACCACTTTATAACAGACTAGGCTTTAGTTTAGTTTTCAATTCTCTTTTTTTTACACTTTGAAATGGTCTGTCAAACGAGGCCTCCATCAACCCAATACACAAACAAGTGTTTTACATCTGGGATAAAGAAGCTTGGGCAGTAATATTTTCTTCTGCTTCCTGAAGGTAAATTTGAGAGCTCCCTACATCTGCAATCTACTTATCAGATCAAAAAACAGGCTGAGAACACATTTGAAACAGAAGACACTTGGATTCATACGCTTACCTGCAGCTGCACTGGTGGATGTAATAGATGCAGAGGGTAAAGCAGAGTTTTGAATAGGTCTACCTGCATTTTCAGAGGGTAGAGAGCTAGTAGTAGAAGGAATACTCATCAAAGGCTGTGAGAGAAGAGACTGGTTCTTGTTCAGTATTTGGCTCCCTGAGAGAGCAGCAGATGGGTTCTGAACTTGCACTTGAACTTGAGACATGGTCACTTTCAACAAAAGTGAATAACTGCAGGTAAACAGCTTTCAGTGCAGGTTAATTCAGTGCTATGAAGTCTAAAGTTCTACCTAAAAGTTGTAAGAAAAAAAATAAAAAGGTAAATTATAGAGGAGATATGTAATTGCCAATATTTAGTCAAAATTGGTGTCACCTTCTCGAGTATGAAAAACAGCCCCATTTGGTATGTAGCTATGTTGATGTATTATAAATGTTTCTCCTTGGTATACAAGAAGGTTCCTGGCCTTGTGATTTTCTCAAGTGTCTTTAAATTACTCACAATACCCACATGCTCTGTATGTTCATTTTATGAAGAAAATCAGGCCCTGGCTGGTATGGCTCAGTGGACTGAGAAGCAGCCTGCAAACTGAAAGGTCACTGGTTCAAGTCCCAGTCAGAGCACATACATGACTGGGTTGCAGGCCAGGTCCTCAGTTGGGGGCATTTGAGAGGCAACCGATGGATGTATCTCTCACACATCAGTGTTTCTCTCTCCCTCTCTTTCTCCCTCTAAAAAGAAAGGAAGGAAGGAAGGAAGGTAGAAAATCAGTAGGGTATAATAATATTTACTGGCGAATATTAAGAATTGCAAACTGCAGCTTATATTCAAAAACACAATTTTAAAACATGGAGAGGTTTTTCCATAGTATATGGGATATGATAAAGGTTTCTGGCCTCAAAATTAAGAAGCTGAAAGCAAACCGGGTTACACCATTAGTGGGTGAATGTAAACACGGCTTCCATTTAAGGGCCTCATTAAGTGCTCAGACTGGCACCTTCGGGGCCTTCCTTTAAGTTGACTGAAGAGAAGTATTTCTCAGCTTTGCTGTTTCTTTGTATAATGATAAAAGATCAAATCTGTTTTCCTAAGAGGTTTGTTTTGAAATGATCTCATTTAACTACAGACAGACCCCAACGAAAAAAACTGTTAGATCCATATCAATGCTTGACCCTGAGAAATCATCTAAATAGCAAAGAACATTCTATAGTATATATACAATTAAAAGCAAAAATGGAGAAGATGAAGAAAGGAACGGACTTCAGATTGGCAACATTACTGCTGTGGCCGGTGGGGGTAGAGCCTCTACCCTCGAGAAACAGACAAGAATGTTTTACTGCAATTTGTGAGCCCCAAAGGCATTCATTCATTCTTCCTAAATAAATTTTGATTTCTCCTCAAGTCAAAAACAAGGATAGTTTTGCTCATTTTCATGACCATGCGTCAAAAAGCTGAAAATACTAAAGGCAAAAGTACTCAAAAGTAACTAGTAGCAACAAAGAACAGAAAAAGCCAACCAAAGCAGAAACCAGCAAATGTTTTATTACAGAGTAACTGTCACTTTACTTTTTAAAAAGTCTCAAAATGATTTTCAGTGAAAGCTGGACCTCTAGAAAGAGATGAATGACCAGAATAATTAAGTTACTTGAGAAGTCCTGGCACATTCTCTCTTGCTTAGGGCAAAAGGCTGCAGAGCTCAACTAAATCAAACCAAATCTAAAACCAAACTCAAAACCTCAGATGAAATATGACTTTGGATCACAGAAGCATAAACACTACCCTCTTCGAAAAAACTGCCCGATATTGCAGTTGTTCCTTGTTTCCTTTTGGAATCAGAACAAAGTAACAACTCCAGTAAAGATCTAGACTATGGTCTTAGCAGACAAGCGGCCAGTGTCAGAAAGAAGCCCCAAACCATTTAAGGCAGGGGTGTCCAACCTTTTGGCATCTCGGAGCCACAGTGGAAGAAGAGTTGTCTTGAGCCACACATTAAATATATTATGACACCTAATCACAAAAAAACCTAATAATGTTTTAAATCTCATCATGCAATAATTTACAATTTTCTGTTGGGCTGCATTCATAGCCATCCTGGGCTGCAGGCTGGACACCTCCGAAGCCAGATGTGACCTCGCTTTATTGTCTTTATTTCCTTCAGCTGCCAAAATACAAATATTTCTCTCTTGCTCTTCCCCCTCTCCCTGTCTTTCTAAACTCTGTCTTGAGGGCATTTTTCTACCCTCCCTCCAAAATCATTTATAGCATACTCACAACTTCAGGACACCAACCACAGGTCACAGGTCAAAAAGTAGCCAAAGCAAGTGTCTGCATCAGGGTCTACCCATACCCCAGAAGGAGCAACCCGACCCTGCTCTGGGTGGCTCTGAGAGTCTGAGAATGAATGAATGAACTAAGTTTAGAAAGAGAAGGGCCCAAAGGGATCTTTTTTGGCTAACACTGTCTATAGCAGGCCCACTGCCAGAATTTCCATCACAGACAAAAATACACAGGTTTTCTAGAAGTTGAGAAAGGGAACAAATAGGCTTTTAAATAACTGTCCCCAAAATGTTAACCTCAAGTTCACCTGGAGATGTTATGTCTTTACAACAATTGGTTGAAACAAGTAGTTCAAAACTGCAAATAAAAAAAATTTTAAGCCCTCTTAATAAGGCTGTGTACTTCATGAATTTTTAATTCCTACAACATGACCAATACTAAGACCCCCAAAACAGTACTCATTTGCTAATAAATGTTTAGTCATTTGCTAATTTAACACTTCTATGTGTCTTTAGGCCTGAAAAGAGAATCTAAAGCAGTCATTCTAAAGAAGGGGTCATTTTGTTCCCCAAAAGCATGTGACAGTGTCTGGAGATATTATTCGGTTGTCATAACTAGGGGCTGAGGGGACCCACTAGTATCTAGTGGGTGGGGGGGGTCAAGGATGCTGTTTCAAGTGCACATATACTAACTCACAAAATAAAATCATACTAATATAACAAGTAGCTTATATTTTCTTAAACAGAAAAAGAAAACCCCTTTTTCACCTCAAAGGCTCTAAAAAAAACAGATGCTAATGTTTTACCCAAACAGATGCTCCTCTCCCAGAGAGGCCATCACAGTTATAAATGGGGGGAAATATTGTTTACCCACGTAACTCAGAGAACAAATGTAGCTTTTGACTACTGCTGTTTATATAGTTCACAGCAGCCTTCAGAGGAATCATGGAATTTGGGGTATATTACTTCGGTATAAATTTAGAACCTGTTGCTCAACAGTACTCAGTCCTGAAGATTAAACCCTTAAATGAAAAGATGTTTTTTTTTCCTTTTAACCTATCTTTAAGGATTGTTTTCTACCAGATACATTAGGGATTCAAGAGATATTAAAATACTTTGTTGGAGTCTCCTTATAAAAGAACAGTGTTTTACACACAGTAAAATGAGGCTGTCGAGTTTGAAACACAAAGACTCCTCGGTTTTCCCTGGGCTGGAAACACCTTTGACTGGTCACAGCCTCTGCTGTGCTACTACTTCCCTACCTCCTGCCCCCTGCCCCCTGCCTCCAGCACAGATGAGGTCCTTGGTTTTTTTCCTGTTTGAAGAGTTTTAGACACCAATTCAGGAAAACACATTCATTTTATTCTCAAATTCTAAATTTATGAAGCATGTATCAGTACTGCAACACAAAGAGGAGTGATAAAACAGCATTATGGGTTCCTCTTTTGAAAAGACTCCTAATTCCAAGCCCTTGCACTCCCAACTTTGGCTTGGTGACAAAAAAAAATCTCATAAATACAGAATCTCACCTTGGCCGGCAGCTTTCATTTTACACGTGCCAAGGCTTTTTAATGGGTTGTGGGGAAGAGGAATATAGGCACACCAACCCTACGAAAGCATTTTTTAAAAATTATACATGATGTGCTACAAAGTGATCAGGCACAATATGCATATTCTTCACTAAGCAGTGAATCATCAAGAGTAGGCCACACTGAATACAGTCTGAATGATGTGTTTAATACACAAAGAGGCAGACTCCTAGAAATAGTTAACAGAAATATCCACAATGATGCGTAGTCTTATTCATTCTCAACTAACAGATTGTTAAATCACTGCAGTATGACGTAACTACTTCAAAAATTATGGAAAAACATCATTTTCAACATCTTTTTTTTTTTACTGGATTAACTCATGATTTATAAATGAAGTAGCTATACTTTTTTGCAATCAATATGTCATTTACCATTGTAGTTACTGTTGTCTCCAAACAAGATATGTTTAAAAAAAGAAAGAAGTCCTCCCAATTCTAGACAAGATTTTAAGACAACCACAAACATTTCACTAAATATCTCCCCAAAGATGTTTATTAAATCTTATGTAGTATGAGAACATAGGAATACTCCAGTTCCTTGCCATGATAGGGTACTAACAGTATCAATAACAATTTTAGGATATATTCATTCAATGTTCAACAAAAATTTACTAAGCATGTACTACATATGAACCCTTATATGCCAAATTACACGTTCTCCAGTAATACAAAGGAGTTAATCTATTAAACTTTTCCTCAAAAATACAGAAGAGATCTTTAAGCAATGAACTATAAATCTGCTCATCTAATTTTTGAGATGCTCCATTCTCAGAGAAACTTTGACACCACCACCAAAACCATTAAGGAATATACCACTTTTCCTACAATAGCCTTGAGATACACCTAAAATATCTTTACATCCGACAGTTATTTTCAAGACACTTTTCTGACATATATTTGTAGTTGCAATGTGGTTGTATGTTTTGTGCAAGTTAGCTCACTTCCCAATTCACCCCTCACCAGCACCTGCCATCCCCTGTACCCTGGAAACAGCAATTCATTGACTACAATAAGTATCTAAACACCCACAGATAGGGCACCCACAAGTATAGAAACATGGCAATCACTATTATCAGACATAATCATTTCCAAAAAGACAATGTCAATATCAAGTAAATAATGTCCAATTGTAGGCCCACATGTCAAAACACAACACTAAATGGTTCTTTAAAAGAAATATGACCAAACTACTTAAAACAGGTGGGGGGGGGGGGAGATTATGTACTAGGTGCTCAAGAGAAAGACCTAGGAAAAGTAGCCCTAAGAACACACAATCACTTACAAGACAATAAAATCAGCCAAAAATAATGCCTGGAAACAACCCAGGCTGTTCAAGACCTTTGCATCCAGTATAAGTGACTGAATGTGGCCTGCCTCGTAATTGGTCTGATGCCAACTAGGCAAGGGAGGATTTTTCTTCCACACAAATGTAACCATTGGGTGGTCCATTTAAAGAACCACTCCCTAAAAGAAAATTCATTATTAACTGTTTATTCTAGAAAAATCATCACACCATATTGTGCACTGAAGTGGAAAAAATTACCCCCTCAGCCTAACAAGCTGCAACTTTAATTTCTAGCTTTGAAATCTTATCAAGCTCCCCTCTTCCCTTCCCTAGAGAAATTCTTAAAAATAACTAAACTCAAACACATTATTTTTGTAAACTGGAAGTGTTTTTAAGATCTAAACTTATAAAAACATAGAAGAATGTTTTAAACCAACCAAAATAAATCTCTATTTGTAATATGGTAGAGATTTTTAAGAGCAGTACCTTGTGACATATTCTTAAACGAGGGGTTTGGTTCAACATAACAGTTAACTGCCTTTTCCTTTCAAAAAAGAAAAACTGTACTCTGTAACCATGTGCCATCTACCTAGAAACATGATGCATTTACTATCGTCTTCATGCAAAACAACCAGTGCCAAGACCCAGTTTCTAAGAAACCAGCCTCGCTGCTAAGTAGCAACCAACAATGTTAAATCAGACCAAGCTTCTGAGTTGTGGCTTTCAGTTATACTCCCAAATCAGAAAGCAATTATATATCCAGCTCTTGGCAATCCACTGCCCAGTGCCTCAGTTTCCCCAAGTCATTTTATAACAGGAGGTCTGACAGTTTCAGTCCTACCAATCAGAGATAAGACCCTCAAAGAATCCTAAGGCTTGGTAAGTTATTCAGTTCTTTCAAAAGAAAAGCATTATACAAATTCAATGTGGTGAGTGTAAATCCATTCACTGGGCTTTGTACAACTTGTCTAATTTCCTTAATGCTTCAATTTCCTCCTTCCAAAGAAAGCTGGGTTAACTTGTCTACTAATTACCACCTCAGAGATTTGATATAATAATCAAATCAGCTCTTAGAGGGAAAGTGTGAAAAAGGACTATAAAATCTTAGGAGCACTCTCACAAAGCTTTTTTGATCTAGATAATCACAAGCAGCCAGTGGGAAATGGCCCTTGATTCCTAACCCCATCTCACAACAGTGCTCAGCACTGAATTAGGTCTACAGGTTTGAAAATCAAGTTTATGTAAACGATCTGAGAAATCAAAGAAAAACTACAGAAGTTTCTATAACCATGACGCTTAATGACTGAGTGACATTAATGACAACTTCAAGGGTCAATTTTCACAGCTCTGCACTCAAAGTATATGGCAGTTCTGGCCAGAGGGTTTTTACACGCTTGCCAACAATTTCCCCTGAACTTAATTACTTTCTAATTAAACCTCAAGTAAAAAAACTACATAAAGTCTCTTCTGTTTCTCTAATATTACAGCCAGAAGTAAGTCATTTTCCATACCAGTCACTGAAGAATTAAAAAATATTATGGATTACCAACAGGCCTGAAATTATAGAGCCAAATTAGGTGTACCTTAAAAAGAGGTGCTCCGGGAACAATGTTGTTTTGGTTCAGATCTGAGTGGTTATGTGGTTAGAAAACTCCTGGAAAATAAGAAATAATAATTTACTAGAGGAGATCTTTTTCTGAAAATGAAGATACATATTGTTAAAGTTTGGGGGAAACCTAAAATCTACAAGCAGAGAACCTTCTGAAAACATGACGTTGTGGCTGGGGAGCCTACAAAAGGCACAGCTGCAGGGACATGAACAGGAGAGGCACAGCAGAAACTTCCTTGTCAGTCACTTCCGGTGACAGAGCTGTCAACCTAAGGTTTATTTTTTAAAAAGGAACTGGACATCATCTACTGACTGATCACACAAACCTGATTTTTAAACTTTTAACTACTGGCTCAATATTTTATTTATAAATGTCCTTACCATGTGCTTGCGAATGCAAATACAACTACACAGGAATTTTACAAAAAGGCATTTTGCACATAAATATTCTTAACATCAAATTGCAAAATACAAGAAAGCACATTACCTCTAGTAAATTCAAATCATAAGCTTTCTTTAGAAATGGATTTCAAGTGATACGAGAGTTTAATTCTCAAACTCTCAGGGCTGCTTGAGGTTCCCCTCTTTTTAAATGGTAGTAGTCAGTAGCAAATATAATTAATTCCTTACCTTGGGATACTTTTTGTGTTTTTACAACATAATTGTACTCCAATTTTTCACTGCCACTGTGACTTAATAAACAATAAAAAGCAGCTGTTCACTGTCCAAATGAATTTAGAAATAAAGTAAGGTGTTCTCATTTGCTTTACAGTATTTTAACAACTCAAGCTTTTTGTAAACAGTGTACGATACTAACAATTTTCCAATCTAGAACCCTTTGTTCCATAATATGACCCATTCAAAAGACTAGCATGAGTGGAAACAAAACGGCCTCCAGCAGCCCACACAGATGTCTAGACCACCCACCTAACAGAGCCCATGCCTTTTACCAATGGGGTTTTTCTCAATTCAAACCCATCTATGCTGAACAATTATGGTACATTTTGGGTATCTAGGTTTCCAGCCCAAAGCAAAATTAGATTGGAAACAAATAAGTGCTAAAGTTGGACATACGAAAATGGTAAGAAACAAGCACCAACAACTCAGAGCAAAGTAGAAAAAGAGGAGTGGGGGAGAAGTATCGGTCTGCAAACATTTAGATTTCAAACATCTTTGCACGAGTGATAGCTGAGATTCATATACACATTTACACTTCCTTAAACATTTTTAAATCCTCCAACCATTTTCAAATGATAATACAAAGCCATCAGGATTATTACTAATATGTAGATATAGATATAGTACTGCCTCCAAACTGCAGCAGAGAAGACAGTGATTAAGCCCAATTTGCTTTCTTTCCCACTCAAGAAAGCATACCTTAATCCAAGAGAGTGGATTAAATTCATTGCTTTATCCCTTCAATAAATAATTATTGAACAGCTACTATTTGCAGGCACTGTTCTACACATTGGGGAGAGAGGAGCACAGAAATAAGATGCAATCTCTGTCTCCGTGGACTTCACACTTGTAGGGAAATAACCTTGAACCAACACAAATGTAAATAAATAATTCACGGTGGCATTTTAATTAGCAGTAACAAATCATTTATAATAAACGTCACTTCATCATTACAGAGGACACAAGGGACCATAAAAGAGCTCCTGTTTGGGTAGGTGTCCAAAGCTGTTGATTGGGGATTTGAGTTTGGGTCCCAACTCTGGCGCTCAGGTGAATAACCCTGACCACGTTAGTCCCGTGGGCCTCAATCTTTTAATGTATTAATTGGGGTTATCACCACCAATTTCATGATTAATAAAACAATAACCATATGGTTCTTGAGTGAATTGACTAGTAATATAAGTAAAATACTTGTAAACTATGACAGGCCATACGCCAAAGTTAACTTTTAAACATCACTTTCTTAGGATATACAGTAACTGATATTATAAAATGGTATTAATAAATCACATTAAAAAATACTATTTAAAAAAGAAGAAATGTAGCAAACTTAAAAAAACCCTCATTAATCCCAAAACAATTTTTTTATTTTATTCTTTTTTTATGTTTGGTGCTTAAATTGATATGTTCTCATTAAACAGGAAAATTACCTAGAAGTAGTGCCTAGAAGTAGTCTCACTCTAACTGTTCCAGATTGTAAAGGTTCACTCTTTTACAAACCAGAAGGAAACTTATTTACCTAACTATATTTGTCTGTCATCTAGGTAAAGGGTCATGGAGCCCTAATAAGCAGGTTGGTTAAATTGTGCAACAAAGAACACAATTAGACTTATCATTAAATATAAATTATCTTCTTTCTGACATAGGAAAGGACTGCCTAGTATTTTGAACAAAATCACAACGGCATCAGCAGACAACAGGCCTATTTGTATCAAGATAGAATCTGCAAGAGTAGAAAATTCATGAACTTCAAAAAGGATAAGTGTGAATCAGACAAAACCTAGACAAAATGAGCAGATCATAAAGCTCAAGTCTGAGGGGAGCCAATATAGTAACAATTTAAGAAGCATTATCTACTCACTTCAACCCCAGAAAAGACATTTCCAACACCTTTTCATAATTAATGAGAACATGTATGTCATTACTGATTACACAGTTGCCTCGGTTAAGGTTAAACACAGAATGGAAACTCATACACCATCTCACTAAAACCCAAAATCCAAAGGCAGGTTTAATTCCATTGATCTAGCAGCCTTTAAAGGCTGGCTGTGAGTACTGCCTGGGTGTACAAGCACAGAGGCTTCTTATTCAGAAGACCATTGATTCAAAGAAATTAAAAAAGAAGTTATTCAGGAGGCAGTTCAACACCAAACAGAATGTTACCCTAAATATTCCTAATACCATTAGCCAGGAAATGGGTATTAGCGATGGCTGGGAAGCAAATGGCCCCAACCACCTAACCCTAAAATTAACCTAGAAGCTCAATTAACTCACTTTTAATTGAGCGGAGTATCATAATTCTAAAGAAACTAATTTTCTTAGCAACAACCTTGTGTATAGTTAATAAATCATTTTAAACAAACCTCATGAAGGATTATAGCAGTAATTTAGGGGAGAGCCTGCTTCAACACAGAAGTTACTGAAATATCCTTCTCCCCATTTACTTCTAAGTATTCCCCCAAACCTTTGAATCAACTTAAAAGTTTTAGTTTCATTTGACTGCCGCAATCTAGCTCAACGAACAAAAATAAACTGTAAATCTCCAAACTATTTCAAGGAAATGACAAATGGATTTTAAAAACTGAGTATTACCAAACCAGACTCTCTCCTGACCCCCAAAACTGGCCTAAAGTCCTAGTGAATAAAATCCACCCCAGCTGCAGTGGGTGGGAGAGTGGAGGAATAAAATTATCCTAAACAAAAAGCACCTGGGCCTATTTTGGAGGCAAAGTATGGTTTAGTGGAAAGAGTTTATGGCCCGGCCCCACTCCAGTTACTTGGCCTCCCAGACAGACCTCAGTATCCTCAGCAATCACGACCCTTCCTTTGCAACAACGTTTGCAAGTATCAGAAACACAACATAACCTATATAACTTTATTAACCAATGTCATCTCAATAAATTCTATTTTAAAAAATAAAACATACAGTCTCTCCTTAAACTCTTAACAGAAAGAAAGGCTCAATGAAGAGCAGCTTTTATATTATTAGTTAAATTCAATCTGACCTTTCAGATTCCTTTCCTGCATCAAATAACCCTCACTCAGTAATCCTAACCTGGCACATGGTAAGAAAGAGCTCAATAAATAGTAGCAAATATTATTATCCAGCAAATTCACTAATCCTGTGCTCAGTCACATAAACATCTATAAATATAAACTTATAACTACACACCACTTGTTTAAAAAGTACTTTAAATGGGAAGAGAGAACATGATGACTAAAATCAACCTACTCACTGGGCAACCAGTTCCAAAGCTACATACATCTGAGACAATCTGATTTAGGGAAAAGACACCGGGGCACTTAAAGAGATTTTCTTAGATTTTGTAGTCCTGTAGACATGACCAAAACAACAACAAAACAAAACCCTTTAGGACAGTTATGACCTCTGTATCAGGTTATAATAAAATGATCTGTTTTGCTTCTATTACTGCTACAAACTCACAAAATCATCACACTTCCCTCCCAAATCAGATTCCAGATTAAACAGAATCAGATAAGCGACAGACGTAGTATTTAGAATGTAATATTTCTACTTTTGTTTTCAGTGAGTATATTTTGAGGGAGCACCCTGAATACACTCCTTTAACAAATAAATGAAAGTGTGTAATTCCAGAAAACATAATTAAGTCTGCAGAGAATTTGCTTCTACATCCACAGGGATATAAATCACTTTTGTTATATAGCGACCTTATTCACTACCACGGGAATGTAAATATTTTTAAATATCTTATTAGCAATAAGTTCACAATTTTACTATTTTTAAAATAACAATTTTCTCTGCCAAGTTTTTTTACTTCAGAGTAATAATTTGTGGGCAAAACATCATCTGGTGGCATTTTAAATCACCACAGCTGTATATTCTAACACTAATTTCTCCTTAGTAGGTGAGAACACAGGATTTAGTCAACACTGTTCAAGCTTGTTAATACTTGATTTATCAGTAAGCACACCTTGGTGCAAAAATTTACTAAACAATTTCCTTTAAAAAGCAAAGTCCTAGAGTCAAAGCAAAATTAAAAATATCAACAAAGCTTTTAAAGATCTAGGAATATCTTACAGAGCTGTCTCAATTTAAAATTAACTGTGTCAGTTATGCATGCGCAAGTATTTAATGACCCAATGTTGCAATTTACTTTGAAACATATCAAAAACTAAAAGAGATGAACAGACGGAATAGGCATGATAAAGCACGTGTAGTAAAATGTTAACGGCAGAGTGTAGGTGACAGATACATAGGTGACATTAAAATCCTTTACATTTTGTTATACACACACTTGAAAATTCTTATAATAAAACATTTGGTAAAAATAACCAAAGCAACCATGTCTTCTCATAGTTCAATCTCTACCTTGTAAATTATATTTTGGGACTAGCATAAATGCTATTGTCTTGATTTTGATAAAGTTTTATTTAAAGAAGAGCTCAGGTAGGAAATTACACCAGAAGCATATTAACCCCAAAGGTCTCCATCAGCAGAAGTTAATTTAAAACAACCTGTCACAGATGTAGTAAAAAAACAAAATGTCCTTGCCATGGCTGGTGTAGCTCAGTGGACTGAGCGTGGGCTGCCAACCAAAGGGTTGCTGGTTCAATTCCCAGTCAGGCCACATGTCTGGGTTGCGGGCCAGGTCCCCAGTGGGGGCCATGTGAAAGGTAACCACACGTTGATGTTTCTCTCTCTTTTTCTCCCTCCCTTCCCCTCTCTGTAAAAATAAATAAAATAAAATCTTTTTTTTTTTAAAAAAAAAAAGGTCCTTAAATTCTCTAAAAACTGCTGAAGGCTCCAAAACCCCATTCTGAGAGAAAGAAAGCAATGCTAAAAGTTCTCATTTGAGGGGAAAAGTTTACATTTTTCCCAATTAGGCAATTCTGTGTCACTAAGTTAGACAACAAATAAGATGATCCAGTTTAGAAGTTCACAAAAACAAGGCTCCGGCCCTGGCCAAGTAGCTCAATTGTAGAGCACCAACCCAATATGTCAAGGTTGTAAATTCAATCCCCAGTCAGGGCACATACAAAAATCAACAAATGAATGCACAAATAATAAGTAAAACAACAAATCAATGTTTCCCTCCCTTCTCCTCTCTAAAATCAATAAATTAAATAATAAAAATTAAAACAAGGTCCCATGACATCCCACCGAAAAATACCTTTTTCATGAACGTTTCAACTTTATAACAGGTAAATTTCACTCTCACTCCATTCTGGAAAAGAGCATCACAGGAAGTTGCCCTGCAAGCTGAGTCCCACTCTGTGCCTCCTACGTTAAATACTTCCTCACTATTTTATGGGGGAGAGACTCTGGATGAAGCAGCACAGGACAGTCCCATGTTTAATGATTACACCCAGAATAATGTTGACAACTGGACTTCAGAATTGGAGGAGGGGAGGGAATTCTATGAGTCACGCTAATTTCTAAACTTAAGGTAACCTGTATGGATAAATTTTCTGGATGAATTTTAAAAGAGAACAATTTAGCCTGAACAAACTGTACAATATTTAGGATTACAATTCCAAAAACATAAAGGCTTACTTGAAGCCTACTGGGAAGCACTAAGCATATTTATTTATATATTTATTTATTTATTTATTTATTCATTCATTCAATTATAATTGTCCCCATTTTAGTACAACCTCTTTTTAATAAAAGATTTTACTTATTTTTAGAGAGAGGGGAGGAGAGGGAGAAAGAGATGGGGAGAAACATCAATGTGCAAGAGATACATCAATCAGTTGCCTCTGACACACCCCCAACTGGGGACCAGGCTCAAAACCCAGGCATGTACCATGACAGGGAATCAAACTGGTGACCTGGTTCGCAGGCCAGCACTCAATCCACTAAGCCACACCAGCCAGAGCTAGCACTAAACATTTTTTAAAATAAAATACATTTTCTGTCCTTTCTTAGACAACCAAATTGGTTTTCTTTCCCTAAGTCAGTGTGAAGACATATGCACAACCTTCCCCATCTCCTAGGTTGTAATAACTGAAACATAACATATATTTTCACCGTACCTGATCAAACACAAAATAAACCTACACAACTGAAATAACAACGTGACAGATCTAAAGGCTGGAAACTTCATGACCAGGAACGTGAAAAATAAGTAATAATGACAAACAATATTCCTGTCAAATTCCATTCTAGGAGAGAAAGAAAAACATGAACATCTATGCTATGAATTCATACATAGTAAATTTGTTTGTGAATACAGCAGATGGGGGTCTTAGGTAAATAATTCTACAAGAGTTTTGAAATCTAATATATCCTTTGCTTAATTCTTTTTAAGAAAAGATTTTCTTTTTAGAGAGAGGGGAGGGGAGAGAAAAAGCAGAGAGAGAGAGACACCAATTGGTTGCCTCTCAAATGCCCCTAACCAAGAACCTGGACGGCAACCCAGGCATGTGCTCTGACCAGGAGTAGAACCAGCGACCTTTCTCTTTACAGACCACGCTCAACCAACTGAGCCACGATGATCAGGGATCCTTTGCTTAATTCTTAACCTAAGGTGATAGCAGCATATTTACATGAGAACTATACAGAAACTTTGAAAGTTATTATGAATATTAACTGCTGTTTAACTCTGACAGTTATTCTCCACTAAAAGTGGTTTAACAGATAGGTCTCTCTACCAAAATAGGATTAGGGATGTCAGTATTTCTGATTGCTTTCCAATTATAATTATACTAATAGCTTAAGAACTGTGGCCTTTGTACACAAAGAAGGGAGTATTTTTGGATGTGACTTTGAAGGGGTTAAGCACTGAATCAAGAGCTAATTTGGCTGCACATTTTTTCCCTGTTGTATAGTAATCATGCATAAGGATGAGAACCCAACAAACAAAACGAGAACTGTGATTCTACTATAAAAAGTAAATGTGGTGGCAAATTAAGAGTCAGGGGCCATTTGGTAAACTGTATGTTTAGGATTTGTTTCAAAATAACCCAGTCTGGGGGAGAGGTATTACATGAAACAAGATTGACTCTGGCTATAAGTCACAGCTGAGTGACCAACACATGGCAATTCTCTATACTACTCAGCTTTTGCATGATTTCCATAATAAAGGGGTTTTTTAAAATTAGGTTAACTACTACAATATTAAAACGCCATTTCCAACAATTTTTTATTATGTCTTCTGTTGCTTGTATAGTTGTTTGCATGGATGTTTTTAAAGAGTCATCCAAAGATTTTAAGCTAGAAATGATGGCAAGATTGTGTGTTAGAAAATTCTAACTAAATGTCAGTAACAGGGAGGTCACTTTGCATTATGTTATGGAGATGGGTGTTTATCAAAACAGTTTAAGAAAGTTTACCTAAAGTAATCCAAGTACAGGAGACTCATTCAACAGAATACTTCTTAATCTTTTGTAAATGTGAACCTCCATGAGTTGCATTTTCCTAATGAAGCCTACACCAAACAACTAAGTACAGAATTAAAAGAAACGCAGTATCCTTAAAGTTGCTGCTTTATAAATCCCATCTGTCACCAGGATGACTGAAACTGCTCCCTCAACAATCCAACTGTATTTTTAGTTTTTACTTCAACAAGCAGCAATGTAATTTACACTGTTGTAAGCACGCCGATTCCTGAAAGCCCAAAATCAACCAAAAAAGTCTAGTTTAACTCTTTCCATCATCCATCACCCTCTAAACTAAAGCTGCAAGAAGGGAAGAGTGACCTTAAAAACGTCCCCACAGCTAGAGAACAGGGGCAGAACAGACTGAAGCACACATCTTCACCGGAACAGAAGAAAACTTCCACATAAGCAATACTGCGACACGGAGGTGGGGCAAAGGCTTAAAAGGAAAGTCGGCCAACAAGGAGGAGGGAATAAAAGCACAGCTGCAGTGAAAAAAAAAGTTAGAAGTTAGAGATGTAGCGCAAGAAAGGACAGACATTTTCCAGCTTCGTACACCCCCCCCCTCCAGAGCCCGACAAACAACAAGCGCTCCAAAAAGGTTTGCTAGACGCAAGCAAAGCTTCTGCCAGTAACTTTCCCAGGAATGGACTGACAACAAGAAGCTGGATGACGGCAAAAGAGGGAGCTGGTGAAAAGTCTTGCGGTTGGCTCAGCAGAGATGGCAATAGCAGCATCTTTTACAGACTGCCTACTTACAGTGTTCCAATTTAACGTACACCCCTTTCTGATATTAACCACCCAAAACAATAAACCGGGTCTGGAAGTGGGAACGCTGAACATTTCGGCCGCTAAGGGAACCCAACGAGAGGTAGGTCAACTTCTGTCCACTCTACCCACTAAGTTATAGCTTAATATCACGCTAATAAATTATGCAGACGGTTTAATGGGACACGCTGTGGGTCTGGCACTTTGATAAGCGCTTTACACGCCCCAATTCACTGAACCTTAACAGCCTTAAGAGGCAGGGACGGCATTAGCCCGTTTTTCCCAAACAAGACACAAAGAGTTTAAGTGACTTGTCCAAAGAGGCACAGCTGGGATTTGTACCCGCGTTGGACACCTGGGCAGTACACCTAACTACTATGCTACAGACACGGCAGGGGACATTTAGGGGCTGCGGACCTCAAGAACTTGAAGCGGAGACCCTCTGCCCCCGCCACGGGAACAGCTTCGGCATCCCCGCGCGCGAGCAGGAATGAGAAAAGACGGCGTGGCACCTGTTTTCTGGCCCCAACAAGGGGCGGAGGGACTGGAAGCGACCAGGGTCCAGGCCGCGGGGCGCCCCGACGCGGGGGGCGCGGGAGAACCCGCCTCCTCCGGGGAGGCCCCGCGGACAGAGAGAAGGCCGGCTGAAGGAGACCGGGTGCGCGTCCCGCCGAGGCCTAATCCCCCACTCACCGCCCACCTCCCCGCGACCGCGGCGCCCACCGCGCGGGTTCCGTCAGGCCTGGCCGGGCCGCCTCACCTGGCTGCTGCCCGGAGCTCGTCTCCTGACCGGCGGTCCTGGGCGGCGGCGGCGAGAAGGAAGGAAGGAAGAAGGAAAGAAGGAAGAAACGGCTGGAGGGAAGAGGCGGAGTGGCCGCGAAAGAGGCAGGCGCCGCCCGGCCGGGGGTCAGAGGAAGGGGTAGGTGAACCAGACACCGCCGCCGCGGGCACAAACGCTGAAGAGCTGCTCCAGCGCCCGCAGCCCAGCAGGAAGTGACGGGGGAGGGGCCTGTTCCCGCCCCCAGCCCCCCCTTCCAGCTCAGCCCCACCCCCCGCCAGCTAGTCGGACCACAAGTCCCGGCGGGCGCTGCGGCAGCAAATGGGCTCGCAAGGCACGCCGGGAGCCTAGCGGGCTGGGGCCTGGTTTTGCTTGAGCCGCCAAGTCCTGCCCTGGGGCCTGCTGGGAGTCGTAGTTCAGGCGGGAGACGTGGGCCGCACCGGGGAAGCGGGGATGGCTTTGCTTCTTTTCTCACCCTTGTTCGTTCTTCCGGTTGTTCTCTCTGTCCTTTTTCTTCCCCGCTTTGATTCCACCGTTTCTCTTTCCCTCAATTCCTCTTTTCGTAAATGTTTATGGAGCTGAAAATGTGGTGTTAAAGAGGCATACAAAAGTCCCTGCCTTCAAGGAGCTTCCATTTTAGTGGAGGTAAAACAAAAAATCAGTAACGTTTATAGTGAGTTAAGGCAAGAAGTGCCAGATTACTATTTCTTTCCTACAGCTCTAGATAAGTATATTTTAGCAGCCATCTTCTATGGTATGTTGGGGTTTGGGGATGGGGAATCTTTGACCTCTAGAATCACATCCTGAAGAATAACAGCTTTGTGAGAGGCCCAGGAAGCTGAGTGAAAGAACGGCGGATGTCCTCCTCTCACTTGCTTCCCCACTTTTTTTTTTTTCTTTTTTAGAAAGCGGGGAAGGGAGAAAGAAAGAGGGAGAGAAATATGTGTGACCGGCTGCGTCTTGCGCGCCCCCAACCCAGTACCTGGCTCACAACCCAGACATGAACCGAACCAGTGACCCTTCAGCTTGCTAGACAACGACCAACCCAGCGAGCCACCCAGTCAGAGCTGCCGCCCCACTATTGAAAAAGTTTATTCTCTCTCTGCCTCTCTCTCAACCCAACTGTTGCTCAATCTTTCTTCACAAGGCAATGTAGTTTAATTTGTATAAATTCATAATATGAGGTGCTGTGACTGAAGGGGCCTTTCCAAACAAGCCTTTGGGACATTGTCTCAGCCACAGAGGACTCTTCATTTCCGGAGCCTCCTTAATTTGCTTGTAAATTGATTGCAACTGTATCTCAGGACACCCGGTAACAGTCGAAGGACTTTCACTGTCCTTTAGCGCCCATCCAAGACAGTACTAAACAACATTTAGCTATCATTCAGCCTTCTGCTGAAGG